CATGGCATAACTGCAGTGAGCCCATTAGCCGCAGACAAAAAAAGCAGCCCAGTCTTCATCTGAGTCTAAATAATAACCATTACAATAGAGACAAGGTGTATTTTCCACTTTACCATCGCTAATTGATGATTTAACCTGACAAGCTTTTTTCTTTTTGGTCACTCTTATTTTATTAAGTCTTGATTTTAGTAGTTTTCTTAACTTCTCTTATTTCTCTTTTTTTTTTTTTGCTTAATTTGTGAACCCCGTCTTGACCCACTCTCCCCTACCCCATCTTGCCCGCACTTACGAAATTGAATAAAACGATTAATTACTATACAATTTACGATTCAACAAAGAAAAAAACATATGCTTCCCTTCTTCTGTAACCCTTGCCAGTTAGAAAAAAATTAATACAGTTCATTAACTGTTATTATTAAGTAATAAACACCTCCTAAAAAAAGTGAAAAAATGACAAGAAAATCGTCAAAAACAGTTTTTTTAGTAAAACAGATAAAAGATTTGTTCTCATGGCTTTTAGGTTTTGTAAACATGAAACTATCGTCTCGGCGCAGTATTATGTAAAATATAATCGCGATTGGTTAATTCGTTTGTTAAATAAGGCCGGTACCCCGTCTTGCCCCACTCTCCCATATAGTGTATAGAAGGCCTTAGTTCCAAATGTCACTGTAAAGGGCATTCAAACACAGGCGAAGATTATAAGGCGCGCTGCAGTGTGCATAGTAGAGAAACTGGACTCAGTCCTCTACTTCGAAATTTTCACAATAAAGGAACGCAGGCGCGGAACCTGTCAAAATAAATGGCCGACGCGAAACGAGTGTTTCCTTGTATTCACTTCGTCAATTTTATATAAAAAAAAACAGTAACCAATCATTAAAAAAAAGAAAATATGTTAAATGCACTCTTTATATATTCATATTCCTTAATTCACAAGTTTTATTCTTCCCACATCTTCATACTTACAATTAACAACTAAATGCATCGGAAAATCTTACAATCATACGGGATTGAACATCTACCTAACTATACAACTAAATATACGCATAATTATAAATCGCACGCTTTTACATTAAGCCTCTCGGCTACGCAATCGATGGGGGAAATTTCCTATTTAAGAAACATCCCTTACCAATGAAATAAATTAGAATATGCGTCGATTTTACTTTGTAATTAATGTAAGTATGGATGTCAACAATACCCAGTGAGAAATTTCTTACCGGTCCAATATCGGTCCAATATTGGGAGCCAAGAGACCAATCATCGGTCCAATAAAGGCTCCCAATATTGGACCAATATGGGCTGATGCTTGGGATGTAACGGGTTCGCCAAGCATCGGTTGTTAATATTGGTCCAATATTGGCCGAATATTGGCAACCAAGAGAAAAAAGCTTTTTTAAATAAATTTTTTTAATTTAATAATAATAATAAAAAATTAATGTTTATAATTTTTGTTGAATATATTTATTTGTTTAATTATTTATTTTTAATAATTCATGTAAATAATAAATAATTTATTATTTATAAATTATAATTATTTAAAAATGCAGCAACTATTAGAAAATAATCGAAATAGCATTCTGCAAAAAAATTCTATCATTGAAAAATCAATGATAGGCGAAAGATATCCGCGTCATTAAACAGATTCGCAGATATACTCTGGTCTCGCGACGAATCTCTCGATACTTATATACACTGGAGTCGCCGTGTCAGTTGCGAGAACGGTTACAGCGTCCCTCTTTCGGCAGAGATAAGAATTGTCACGTAAACTGCGGGTATAATAAGGCCGTCGGTAAAGCGATTTAGCAGTTTACGTGAAAATTCTTATCTCTGCCGCAAGAGGGACGCTGTAACCGTTCTCGCAACTGACACGGCGACTCCAGTGTATATAAGTATCGAGAGATTCGTCGCGAGACCAGAGTATATCTGCGAATCTGTTTAATGACGCGGATATCTCTTGCCTATCATCTGCGAATCTATTTAATGACGCAGATATCTCTCGCCTATCATTGATTTTTCAATGATAGAATTTTTTTGCAGAATGCTATTTCCTAATAGCTGCTGCATTTTTAAATAATTATAATTTATAAATAATAAATTATTTATTATTTACATGAATTATTAAAAATAAATAATTAAACAAATAAATATATTCAACAAAAATTATAAACATTAATTTTTTATTATTATTATTTAAATAAAAAAATTTATTTAAAAAATTTTTTTCTCTTGGTTGCCAATATTCGGCCAATATTGGACCAATATTAACAACCGATGCTTGGCGAACCCGTTACATCCCAAGCATCAGCCCATATTGGTCCAATATTGGGAGTCAATCGGCGCCCAGCACGGCAACCAATATTGGACCGATATTGGACCGATTAAAGTCTATTGGCAATTTCTCACTGGGTATTCATAATATTGAATAAATAATATTGTCAACTAGTTTAAATTTTATACGGTTATTAGAATTTAATAATAAATAAATAAAAAACATTAATTTTTTCTTAACCTTTTTCAAGTTTGACACTCCTCATGGTAAATTTGATTATTCTTTTTTTTCCGTGTACAAAATAGTGAATTGACCTTGAATGAAATGTATAATTAATTATTCTCACAGCAATATTTAATAATTTAATGAACTTAACTGCACTGCATAATAGTTGAGAGTAGTAAGAGTAAGTGAAACGGTAAGATAAGTGAACGACCATTAGTGTGAGAGAGAGAGAATAACTTGTGGTTTTCGAGTAGGTATCTACTTTATGTGCACGGCGTTCATTTTTTGAAAGAACTGGACTGAGTACTATTTGTTCAATATTCGCTTCTATTATTGATTTGTGTTTTGTACACTGCCGCGTTCTTTTAACAATTACATGAGAAAGTAATTTCTCATTCCAATTTGTTATACTCTTATTCCCTCTTAGACTATATAAACAGTCTTGTTTAAGCTGATGAATAGGATAACTTGTGTTGAGTCCCAAAGTGTTCAACTATGAAACTTCTAATACTATAGTGTGTACCTGTCACATATTTTTCTATAAAGGAGTACTACACTGACTGCATAAATCATTTTTCCATTTTTCTCCGTGTATACGATATCCATCTTACAATTATTATGATATTGAATCCGATATTTTGAATTTTTAAAAACCACTGTCAGATTCATAACCCAGACCTCGAAAACTTCTTCCAAATTTAAAATAATTGCATAAAAAAGATTAAAGCTTAAAGTATAAAATAAAAAGAATAGGTCTAGAAAAAAATAGTAAAATTTGTAATAAAGAAGTACTATTGTAATAATAAAAAAAATATATATGTTTAATTTGTGTAGGGTGTAATATCGAAGATCGATAAATCGTGGTATATATTGAAAGAATAAATTTATATAAATATACGATGGTGGCCAGTTGCCTACACGATATTCAAACGCGAGAGGGAAGGAAGCGTGCGGTATCATTGTAAGTTCTGGTTCGTTAGGGGAGAAAACAACGACCGTGGCATGCAATATGCAACAATACGATGCAACGACGCTAGATACAGGTCCAGGCAATCCCTTTGTTTTTAAGTTTTGCGTTTCACTAACCACTGCAATATACAAGAGAGCAGTGCATGCTCCTTTCCTTCGCCTTGTCTATGATTTATCTTGATCTCGCGCTCCCGATAGAATTTCAAACTAACTTTCCTCACTCCTCCCCTCCTCATCCTCTTTCCAACCCACCACCCTTCCCTATAATACAAGTTTTTCTCATTTTTTTTCTCCATTTCTTTGTTTGTACTCCTTTCTCTTTCTTAATGACGATCTTTTTCTATTCACTCTTCTTTCTTTGTATTATCTTTCATATTTTCTCTCTTTCTCCCTCTATTTCTCTCTTTTTACTTCCCCAACTCTTTCACTCACTTACAGTATCGACATGCATATGAAAATGTATCCACGAAGAAATCGGCATTGTCTGCCATTTTTGGGTAGACTAGGAGACTCTATTGAAATGTGGGAAGTCTCTCCCGGATATTTGCGCACAGCATGAAGAGAAGAATTTTATATTCACTTTATAAAAGCATTGCATGCACATTAATCAAGGGTCCTGGTGTTGTTATATTATAAGATTAAGATTTATACACGATTTCCTTTTATAAGAAAAAAAAGAAACAATTTCTGTGACTCGCATTAAAACACACGTCGCATGTCCAGCGAACTCTATTAAAACTTGTGTTATATATATATGTGTATATATATTTATGTCGCCAGTGGATGGAAGGGAAAGAACTCTCGTGGTCAATCTAGGGCCTTACAGATCGTTAATTATCATCAACGAAATTAAGACGTCATTAAAGTTGTATCAAAGAAGTTTGTAATTAATTACATGCTAAAAAGAAACAATGAGCTCTGGATGGAGATACGCTTTGATGGAATAATGAAATACCCGGTGTGGGTTAATCGTATTCGACTTAAAATTACAATGACAAAGGAAAAAAAAACAAATAGGAAATTAAAAAATATACTAAATTATACATTGAAATTGTCATTTTTCGTTTTCTCACTCTGATTAAAATTCTGCGCACGAAAAAAATTGTTTCTGTTCTCCTTTTCATTCTCAAGAGAATTATATTTATGAAAAAGTCATAAATTAAAATTAATTATAATTTGCACGAATTTTTAATAAAATTTTTCTATTTTTTAGTTTTAATTTTCTCTTTATTAAAATTTTAGTAAAAATGACTGAAATTATTATAAATGTTCAACTACCTACTATAATTAGTAGAGATTTTCTACATCTTTAAATTAGTGCACGACTTTTCACTGATTAATATTTAGAAAGTAACGTATGTATAACAAAATAAATAAAATTTAAAAAGTAATTAAAAACATTTTTAAGAATAATAAAAATGAAATTAATAAATAGCAATATTTAAATTTGAATTGTAAGTAAATTACCAAGATAGAAAAAAAGAAAAATGGAGTCATATTACTTTTATGTAAAAATTGAAAAGACTGAAAATTGCAGACTCTTTGCTGTTTCGAGATGTTCCCGATGTCAAGCTGGCATTTCCGCTTCGGAATTGGTGATGCGAGCACGAGATCTAGTTTATCACGTGGCTTGTTTCACGTGCGCATCGTGTGGCACCCCTCTTAACAAAGGCGACCATTTTGGACAGAAGGAGGGCCTCGTTTACTGTAGGTGAGAATCCAATAATCGATATATCCCAAACATATCATCTATTGTTCGTATTCAAGTGTTTTATATTTACAAAACGAGATTTCCTAACAAGGACCTATAACACACACGTCAAATCACAACGAATTTCCCTTCGTCTTCGAACTTTATTGAAGAACCTCTAAATAAAAAAAAACCTTAGTTTATTCCATTTTTTCCCTTTTTCTTTCCTGTTGTTTAATTGAAAAAATAAATTTTCATATTCTTTAAATCTGTAAGAGAGTGACGTCATTTAATAATTCAAATTAATAAACATTTTTCCTATGCAATAAAATTTTACTTTTTTGTTCGATGGTCAATTCACATTGACAAGTTAAAAATACAGAAGCATTGTTACTATAAATAATAATAAGTAATAATTTAATTTGTAAAGTGATTAAATTATTACTTATTATAATTGATAATATTATATGTATATTTATTAATATAAAATAAAAAATTATGAAATAAAAATTGAAAAAGTAAATAAAATTATTATAAATTATAATTAAGAATTTCATTAGTTGGAGGCTAATATGGTATTAATGATCAATTTGTTTTCTCAAAGACCTCATTACGAGTTAATTTGCTGCTCTACGGATTACGGAAGTACGTCAGGCAGTGTCGAAGACATCGGTTCCCCGGAGGTGTCACCTCTTCCGGGCTATTACAGTACAGCTGAGCAAAGTCCCATTGCATCAAGTGGGTCAACTCAAAAGGGCCGTCCAAGAAAAAGAAAACTTTCCGAAGTCACCGGTTCAGATTTAACGATGAGACTTGCAGCCGGCGCTTTAGGTGAGACTAACACTTTTTTAGTAATTATTTACCGAAATATAATTTAATAAAATTTGCATAAGAAACACTGATTAACTATTATAATACATAATATTAATAATTATTATTATTTATTTAATATATGAGGCATTCCATTTCAAAACGACCCCCTTCGTAAACAATTGCCAATGTAAGACTATTTTTAAATGAATATTTCTTCCATTCTGTAGAACCAAATTACTTTTTATATTAGTGATTTCGAAAGTAGAATTTCTGAACTTTCTAATAAGAAAAAAATACATTTTTTTAATAATTTATTTTAAATAGAAAATTGAGTTTAAAAGTTAAACTTTGAAAAATCTCAAAACCCGTTACCTCCGATTTTAATAAAATTCATATCAAACGAAAGCTTGAATATTGTTCTTTTTATTTATCAAACGATAATAATGGACATTTCAGTGGATTTTGAGAAAATAATTAAATTTTACAGACATTTAGAAGGTTATTATGCATAAATTGGGAAAAACAAATGCCGCCCTATACTTAATAAATGGTTTTCTCAATATAACCTTCTAAATGTTTGTAAAATTTAATTATTTTCTCAAAATCCACTGAAATGTCCATTATTATCGTTTGATAAATAAAAAGAAGAATATTCAAGCTTTCGTTTGATATTAAATTTATTAAAATCGGAGGTAACGTGTTTTGAGATTTTTCAAAGTTTAACTTTTAAACTCAATTTTCTATTTAAATTAAATTATTAAAAAAATATATATTTTTATTATCAGAAAGTTCAGAAATTCTACTTTCGAAATCACTAATATAAAAAGTAATTTGGTTCTACAGAATGGAAGAAATATTCATTTAAAAATTGTCTTACATTGGCAATTGTTTACGAAGGGGGTCGTTTTGAAATGGAATGCCTCATATACGTTTGCTTTATAACACAATTATTAACATTTAACAAGTGAGAAAAAGCCTTCGAGTATGACCAAAATATACAATAATTCAATGAAATAAAATCGTGGTCAACAAAATTGCTTATCGCCAAAACAACAATCACAGCAAAGAAAAGGTTCAAATCTTGTTAAGATAAAAAAGAGTCATGCAAATGAGCACATGCCGGTTAATTAGATAGAATGTGGGAAAGACTCTCATTCTACACTGAGAAATCCATTTATTTGTTTTAAACAAATTTTTTTTCAATCAAACTTAAAATATCTTTGCTATACAGTCAAACATATTTATGTCTAATTGAAACATATTTTTTGGTTCATTTAAACAAATAATATATTTAATTCAAAAATAAGTTATGGTTGATTTCAAATTATTTATAATCAACTCTTAAGTTTGAATCAAATATAACATTTTTAAACATATTTTCTGTTTAAAGCAAAACAGAATATATGTTTGAATTAAATACAATTATTCAAACAAATAGGTATATCTTTCGGCATGCATTTTTCTTTTTAAGAAATATATTATACAATATGTAATAAAAATTGTATTTTTCCGTCTTAAAAAAATGTCATGGACTTACCCTAAGTATAAAAAATTTGCTTCTTTTGTAAAAATATTTTTCTTCAATCGCAACAGCAACAAGCAAATTGATTCAAAAACACGTTGTCAGTTAAATGAATATGAATTGTTGAAATTAAATAATAATGCTTTGAATGACTTATAATTTATAAACGAATGTTAATTTTAAGATTTCTCAAATGCCTCAAAAACAATTAAGCCGTTTTTCGATCTGATCGTAAAGATTTACTCAAGTTATCGTCGAGACAAAATTTTTTACAGAAAGACACTTCTCTAAAAGCCGTTTTTTGTCATTAGGGGGTCATGAAACGTGGAGATTTACCGGAATTAGACAATACTCAAAATCGCACAAATCCAAGATCTTCTCATTTTTATGAGAATGTAAAACTTTAATTACTTTTATTTATAGCAAACACTGATCAACTATTGGTACCTGATACAGTACATTACATGTATTTTACATGTAATTTTAATGGCTACGCGCGATTGATAACTATTAGTTTCCTAATACCCTCAAAAAATATATAATTTAAATTCAACTTCTAAAATAAACCGTTTAAAACCTCTACTACACCACTAAAAATAAATTTATTAAAATAATTACTCACTTGCAGTCTATTAAACAAAATAGCCATCCCGTGTAGAAATTGAAAATAGGATTTATTAAGGCCCTGAATAGACGCCCTTTTGTTTAGTGAGGCGGAAACTAAGAAAATTAGTCAGGAACCGTCTAACTTCGTCACGCTTGAAATATTAGGTGATGTGGAAAGATAGAAAGGTTCCAACTAGATCGCCCTGTCACTGCCTGAATAGAAAAGCAGAATGTGGGGATTTAACTACAGGGCCTCTTTAGCGCCTCATTATTTTTTTTAAATACCCAAGAAAAAATTTACGACTGGTGCAATATTGTGCCAGTAACACTTAACAAGTCTCTGAACAAACGCACATGTAAACAACACTGTTTTGACAAATCGACCTGTCACTATCTTAACACAAACTCGCACGATATGAATCTACTTTCTCATCGTCCTTATATGCTAAACAGAACATTTCTTTAGCGCTTGCGAGAAATAGTGCAATATTTTGAAATTTAAAAATCTCAAATATTTTTGCCCAACTAGTTTTCATATTTTAAATAGTATTTTAATATGTATTTAGAACTATTTTTCTCATTTATTTAATTGCTTATTATTAAGAAATTGGGATTTGTCAATGAAATTTAAAATTAATTAAAATACCTAATAGGGGCATAAATAGATACCAGATAGATTTCCCTGTTTACACAAAAAGGGCATTCTAATCAATGCCTGATTGAAATATTTAATAGGGGCATAAATAGACCCAGTTAGATTTCCCTATTTAGAAAAAGAAGGCATTCTAGTCAGTGCCCTTCTTCAAATAAGGCGAAGTCGGTCAATTTCCACACGAGATATTACTTTGATTTTACAAGATCCTGATCGAATATTGGGTTCTTTACCATATGCAGCATAAACAGTATCTGTCTCTAACCTAATATCAAAAATCAGAGTATGAGTCGACAGAAGCAACGGTTTCTTTTTGAAGGAGACCTGAATACTCTATTCTATCCAGGTGACTTATTCCCCAAATTTGGACCTCGTTAGATAATGTGCTAAGAGCCAAGCTATTGAGAAGCTTTTGGTAAGAATTCCAAGAATCGATCCCCAAAAACTGGACAGTAGTCAAAATACCCCCCATTATAGATTAAACGGAATTTATCGACCCACTAGAAGAAAAAGCAGTAACTTCAAAATAAAATACCTAAATAACCGACAGTCTTAAAAAATCTATTAACAGAAACATTTCTTAATTTTGTAAAGATAACAATTCTAGTTTTTAGCAGTGTTTCCGGAAAAATAGTTTTCTTGGCATTATAAAACTAGTATTTCTCATTTCTCAGATAATTTCACAGGGGAGTCCGACAAAATATCACACTAAAGTCCAGATCATGTAGTTTTCTTCACAAAAGATAGTACGAAATAGAGGGGAAGGTTTTCTTAAAATCAATAAAAACTGCATAAACTGTTGTTCTCGGTATACTCAGGTGAATCTGCATTACAAATAAAACTTCAAAAAGATTATCAATACAATCTAGGCTCATCAAAAATTCGGATAGTGATTCAAGAATCTAATTCTATACCTCTATAGTCAAGATTATTTATTAAAAAAAGTTTTGCAAGAATAGGATTTAGTGCTGAGGGAATATCCTGTATGCAACATGGGTGATGATCATTACATGAACTTTTTACTTCCTCATGGAGGAAACAATATCATTTTATCATTTTTTGGAATTTTTTTTTACAAAAACAGTATATTTAGTAAATTAAAATAAAAATAGTTTTAAGAACAATAAGTAATTTTAATTCTCAAGTAATTTTTAATACATTCTAACATTCGCACTGTCCAGTCATACATGGGCAGTTCCCTACGAAAAGCAAATGGTGGATCACCGATTTTTCTTAAAGTTTGTAATTTTGTAGTACTTGGGGTACTAAATAACTGTGCCAAACAGTTTTGCAAAAAAAAATTTTTTTTGCAAGATTTTTAGATTTGAAAAATCGGAAAATGAAAAAAATGACTTTTTTTGAGAATTTTTATTTCGAAAACTATTGATTCTACAAGAAAAAGTTATTTATTCAAAATTGTAGAGAAAATGTCAATCTTTTATAATATTTAAAAAAAAGTTAAGAAAAATTAATTTTTCAATACTTTGTTTAAACAATAATTTTTTATTAGTCAAAGATGTATTTTGTGTCAATTTTATTCGTCTGATCGTAAATAATAATATAATATAAAAATGAGCTTTCGCTCCGCGACGCAGAGCCTCCTCAGATAATAAATCTGCGAAAAAAGGAAAAAGATTGTAAAATCCTCCCTTCACAAAAATATGCGAATCTTATAAGAGTTAACCTCAAAAACTTACCAAAACACGAGTAAAAAACAGATATTGTACATAATCATAAAAAAACTCTCCTCCAACGAAAAACATGAGTGACCGCCAACGACAAAAACTATTACAAATTAAACAAACGAAACATAACAATAAATAGAGGAAGAAAAACTCCCTCATTTTTTTAAGTCACATGTTGGCAGATGATTTTCTTTACAAACTTTTTTTAAAAACGCGAATATAGTGCATGTGTTTGGTTGGTAAAACAGATTTCATTCATGCAACCTTTACGCACGGAATATAGGGTGCGTTACACTCTCACGAGAAGATTCAAAAAAAGATTTTTTAAAAAAATTACATTTGGTTGGAAAATTTTATAATTTGTTTGTATTTAAAATTACATTTCTATAAATGTCATTGAGTGACTTGGTATCAGTTCTCAAATTTACTGAATTGGTATTTTTTACTATTTGGAACATTTCTTTGAAAGTTCTACGGGTGTAGCTCCTCTCTGTTTTTAAAATTTTAACGTTTTTAAATTGAAAAAGATGGTCATTCTCATGGGAGTGTTTAA